AAAATTGAAGGTTGAAACAACGCTATTATAGGTAAACTCAACCATACAAAATGCCGATGATTTTTATATTTCCAACACTTGAGTTATTATACAATGTGAATTGATCATCCTTACAGTTATGTTTCAAGGTAAATTTTAATCATTTGTAGGATAGTGCTATAGGCCCTTTCCTAGATGCTGTCTTTTCTCAGTTGGCTTTTCACACTCAAGGTAATACCTTATACAATACTAGACAGGAGTGTACCGACTGACCAAGTACAACATCCTCAGTCTGCGATAAAATCACTTCATATCGATTGGAAGAAATTAATATTTCTTTACTTAAAATCGTAGTTTGTTGCTGCATGAGCGTTATTTGATAATTAGTTTTTTTTATTTTAATCTAGAGTGGTTGACACACAATGTAAGAAGCATTCATACTCTGTCATACTCTAGGTCGTGTGATAAATGTATTCCGTAGTATCACAACTGAGGTAACTTTTCTAGTCTATACTATTTCAAAGTCGGTTTTATTTGTGTATCATATTTGCTTCATATGGATGGTATTTAGTAATGTAGTTCACGATGTTTTGTTGTATTGTACTTCAATCTCAGTTTCACTTTGTATTGTACTGTTTTATCTCGATATGATTTTGTATTGTACTGTTTTATCTCGATGTTATAGTGTATTGTACAGCTTTATCTCGATGTTATAGTGTATTGTACTGTTTTATCTCGATGTTATAGTGTATTGTACTGTTTTATCTCGATGTTATAGTGTATTGTACTGTTTTATCTCGATGTTATAGTGTATTGTACTGTTTTATCTCGATGTTATAGTGTATTGTACTGTTTTATCTCGATGTTATAGTGTATTGTACAGCTTTATCTCGATTTTATAGTGTATTGTACTGTTTTATCTCGATGTTATAGTGTATTGTACTGTTTTATCTCGATGTTATAGTGTATTGTACTGTTTTATCTCGATGTTATAGTGTATTGTACTGTTTTATCTCGATGTTATAGTGTATTGTACTGTTTTATCTCGATGTTATAGTGTATTGTACTGTTTTATCTCGATGTTATAGTGTATTGTACTGTTTTATCTCGATGTTATAGTGTATTGTACAGCTTTATCTCGATGTTATAGTGTATTGTACTGTTTTATCTCGATGTTATAGTGTATTGTACAGCTTTATCTCGATGTTATAGTGTATTGTACTGTTTTATCTCGATGTTATAGTGTATTGTACTGCTTTATCTCGATGTTATAGTGTATTGTACAGCTTTATCTCGATGTTATAGTGTATTGTACAGCTTTATCTCGATGTTTTAGTGTATTGTACTGTTTTATCTCGATGTTATAGTGTATTGTACTGCTTTATCTCGATGTTATAGTGTATTGTACAGCTTTATCTCGATGTTATAGTGTATTGTACAACTTTATCTCGATGTTATAGTGTATTGTACAGCTTTATCTCGATGTTATAGTGTATTGTACAACTTTATCTCGATGTTATAGTGTATTGTACTGTTTTATCTCGATGTTATAGTGTATTGTACAGCTTTATCTCGATGTTATAGTGTATTGTACTGCTTTTGTGTCGATTTGATCAATGTTGCTCAGGCCCCACTTGTATAAAACATCTCAACTTGAGATTTCCTCAAGTCGAGATTTTCCTCAGCTGATATCTCCTCAAAAACGGCTTGTATAAAATTTTCTCAAGGAACAGGAGGAAGGCATCGCCTAGGATGTCCTGAAATTCCTTGAGGAATTTTCATACGAGATATTTTCAAGGAGATATTAGCTGAGGAAAATCTCGACTTGAGGAAATCTCAAGTTGAGATGTTTTATACAAGTGGGGCCAGGTGTCTTTAAAAAGCGGTAAACTGCTCTATCGCGACAATATTTTGAAATGTTGCTTTTTGTGTCACGTTCTTTATTTGATTGCATGGTTGATATGAATGTCAATTGTTTTTGCTGCATCAATCAAATTAATATCAATTTTGGTTTCGAAGCGGGGACCGATATTAGTTTAAGGTTAAGTAGGGCAAACTTTCACACACACATAGACTCTCCGGAGCCCTTCCATAACAGAACTAAGATATATGTGTCCGTGAGGGAGAGGAGGTTTTGACAGGAATTTAGCAACACCAAGCAAACAAGCTGATGTCAGTAGAAACCTTACAGAAGTAACAGTTATATATATATATCTGTTATTGATACAGACGAAATCCACAGTGGTAATAGGCATTCAAAACGTCGTCACGACCGAGTGATCTTTTCAGCAAAACATATGTCATATTCTAGGACGTGCATACCGGGGATAACAAATCGCCACATAATTAGTGGGATATGCGCATTACTCTATCACGGACAGGGGCCAAAGGATACAAAACCTTGAATAATGATACAGATCCGCTGTTTTCAAATACTTCTGTCACTGTTTAACCTAACACCTCTCATTAGAAAGCAAGTTATTGCGGCGGTTGGAAGATATTTTGGTGAAAAATCGGTTACAATTCGAGTCTGTAGGAACCTTGATATGTCACTGCATTCCAATAACAGTTTGGTATTTCTCTCGTATTTCGTCAATAGAGAGGTATAGGTCTGATCTACTGGATTGACAGTGGAAACTGGATGTTGGGACCATTCTTTTGGAGCACATGTCGTATGCATCAATTCCCTGAGAAATGTTACACAACTGTTGTGGAACACATTACTCCACGTTCCAAGAAGACCTTGCTATTGCCTAACCACCAGAGTTACACGTGCTTGGCATTGTAGACCCATCTATCAGGAATGTACACAGCCTCCTTTACTGTAAAATGATCGTACCAGAGGGCTGCAATTATACGTCGTAGCATAAATACCCTCTAACCTGACAACATAATGACTCTTCCCAAACACTCTCCCGAACACACGCCGTTGTTCGTGGCTTGTACATCAATCGCATTTAGACTTCGCCTGGTAGTGTACGGTCGGAATCACTGTGAGTATTGGTCAGTGAGCTTGACAGCATTTCACTGAAGCAGCAAATAGAGTGTTTGTCTCGTTTTCTCAACTAATTAAACATGTCTTACAACTGATTACAATAATTAACTGGTTTAGTATATCTGTATAGGCTTATAAAACGCTAGTAGGTCACGTTGCATGTTAAACAGGTGTTTCAATATTGATTGGCGGGATTCTTGAAACTTAAATAAAATGTTATTCACCAGAAAATGTGTTAATCACATGAGCTTAAAAGTAAGTGACACGCGCCGACACCAAATATATTATATCTGCCCTGAACACTGAATGATAATATTCGGACTGGAAAAACGAATAAGCGAAACGCCAGAACAAATTGTCTCACACATTTTATAAAGGCCACCAGCGCGTTTCACCTGAATCTATGGACTTACATAAAGTGGAAGTGCTATAAAAAATTCTGGAATTATTACCTATAACACCGCATAGTTTCATTAAAGATAACGACCTTCCGGTTGGCAGATAAAGCGAATAGTTAATGGTGATTGGTTTAACAAACTCTAGCTTACATTTCTAAATTTAAAACACGTAGGATTAGTACAGAGTCGTGTCGAGTATTTGTGATGTAAAGAAATATTATATGGTATCTAGATGTGTAATCTGATAATACAACTTTCTGATTGATAACCGCTATGGATAAACAGATTGCAGCAATCTCATCTGCATTACAGAATTATGATACAATCGCCTTTATTTTCAAAACCTTCCTGTCATGTTCAGAATTGCACGGAACAGTGTTATTTTAATGATATGCCGAAGAAGTTGACTTTTTTTTTTGTATTAAAATTGAAACTAATAAAAACTAAAAATAAAACACGAAAGAAAGTAATTCCGGAAGTAGTAGAGCTATAGCAAATATAAATTTATTCAATTTGTTGATTTTTTATCCATGTATTCAGGTGGATTCAGGTCAGATGTATTCAGGTCAGGTGGATTCAGGTCAGATGTATTCAGGTCAGGTGTATTCAGGTCAGATATATTCAGGTGTATTCAGGTCAGATGTATTTAGGTCAGGTGTATTCAGGTCAGTTGTATTCAGGTGTATTCAGGCAAGGCATATTCAAGTCATATATATTCAGGTGTATTCAAGTCAGGTATATTCATGTGTATTCAGGTCAGATGTATTCAGGTGTATTCAGGTCAGATGTATTCAGGTGTATTCAGGTGTATTCAAGTCAGGTATATTCAGGTGTATTCAAGTCAGGTATATTCAGGTGTATTCAGGTCAGATGTATTCAGGTGTATTCAGGTCAGATGTATTCAGGTGTATTCAGGTGTATTCAAGTCAGGTATATTCAGGTGTATTCAAGTCAGGTATATTCAGGTGTATTCAGGTCAGATGTATTCAGGTGTATTCAGGTCAGATGTATTCAGGTGTATTCAGGTGTATTCAAGTCAGGTATATTCAGGTGTATTCAGGTCAGATGTATTCAGGTGTATTCAGGTCAGGTGTATTCAGGTGTATTCAGGTGTATTCAAGTGTATTCAGGTGTATTCAAGTCAGGTATATTCAGGTGTATTCAAGTCAGGTATATTCAGGTGTATTCAAGTCAGGTATATTCAGGTGTATTCAGGTCAGGTGTATTCAGGTGTATTCAGGTCAGGTGTATTTAGGTCAGGTGTATGCAGGTCAGTTGTATTCAGGTCAGATGTATTCAGGTGTATTCAGGTGTATTGGGGTCAGATGTATTCAGGCGATTCAGGTCGAGTGTATTCAGGTGTATTCACGTGTATTCAAAGTTAAGTATATATTTAATATATATTTAATTTCTTGATATTAGATGTCAAATGTGACGTATGCTTTTCTTTTTTAAGAAATGGCATGATTATAATAATGATATATAAAGCATTGCAAAATGACATATAGTAGTGATGAGTTGAGTTTGGATTATGTTAACATGTTGGTATATACTTGATGTTTTTACTTATAGCTGACATTTAAATTGATCTGATAAAAAGGAAAAGGAAAAACACGTAAAAAGCTTACCTCAATAGGAACGAAATGTTGGCAACTCAGTATAACTTGAGCATGTACGATTGGTGCATCCAATCAAACCGATAGTAGGTAAAGCATATATACCACGGAGTCAAAGGAATCTGTAAAATAGAACGGAATCACACTTATATCAAGTCAAAGCTTATACTGAAAAAGCAGGCAATAACGTTCAGGAGATTACCACTGAGTAACGCTGCGTTTTTGTAATGTCATTCGGTAAGAGTATGAGAAATGCTTTGGTATTTTATGTCATATTTTACATACGGTTAGAATCGTGGTAAATGTAGGACAAATAAAATACAGGAACATCAGAGGGATTTCAGAAAAGTGTCGACGAGAAAAATCCTGATAATATCTGTTTAATGTCAGTCAGTTTACGGAAGCTTGGGATCAAGTTACGCTGGGGTTACAAAAAATCAAATTATATGTCAATAACGGCCAGAACCTCTGTATCCTGTCATATTATCGATATACGAGCTCATGATGCTGGTGAGGTTCCTGACATCAGCTTAGCAAATCTCAGACGTTCTGGGTAATATCTTGACACCAGCTAAACAAATCCCAGCCACTCATGATAAAGTTCTCGACATCAGCTTTAGATATCTCAGCTGGCAGCTCATAATACAGTTCCCGACATCAATTTAACAAATTTCAGCTTCACATGATGAGGTCCTGACATCAGCTTAACAAATCTTAACCACTATTAGTTTTTCACGTCCCAGTAACTTTCTTCCGTGTTCTTCCTGACATCGGCTAAACTCCGCACTTATTCAAGACGTTTGTTACAAAGGCTTTAGATATACCTCAATCAGTTCTGCTGCGCAAACAAAACCGAAGCCTCCTAACACGCCAAATGACCTCCGGTTTCGGTGGGACATTCTTCGACGTATTTGAAATTGTATTATCGAAGATTTCAGAGAAGACACACAAGTGAACAACACCTTCCAATACCAATTGATGAAGACCCTAAAAATCACCATTGCCTTCATCACCATACATCTTTCGAAACCATGTCTGGTAAGTCAAAGCCAGATTCAATGCAACTCGTTATGTGACGATAAAGAATACACGCAAGATCATCAAATCGACTGCATCATAAATATTACATCATATATTTGCAAATCAGAAAAATCATCACTCTTATTTTACACCCTAGTGGAAAACATTTCCATTGGTTTTGCTGTAGGTTAAGATCGGTGTCCAGTCGGTGGTTTCAGATCGATGTCCAGTCCGTGGTTTCGCTGTAGGTTAAGATGGGTGTCCAGTCGGTGGTTTCGCTGTAGGTTAAGATCGGTGTCCAGTTGGTGGTTTCATTGTAAGTTAAGATCGGTGTCCAGTCGGTGGTTTCGCTGTAGGTTAAGATCGGTGTCCAGCCGATGGTTTCGCTGTAGGTTAAGACGGGTGTCCAGTCGGTGGTTTCGCTGTAAGTTAAGATGGGTGTCCAGTCGGTGGTTTCAGATCGGTGTCCAGTCGGTGGTTTCGCTGTAGGTTAAGATGGGTGTCCAGTCGGTGGTTTCGCTGTAGGTTAAGATGGGTGTCCAGTCGGTGGTTTCACTGTAAGTTAAAATCGGTGTCCAGTCGATGGTTTCGCTGTAGGTTAAGATCGGTGTCCAGTCGTTGATTGTCAGTGTTGTATATGCCAACCGTTCAACTTAAAATTCATGCATGGCCACAAGGCAAGATGATTTGACAGCAGTCAAATCTGTTCAAACAAAAGAAAACTACCTAACTACAGCGTTATAATTCAACAACAAACCCTCTACTTCATATCAAACGAATTCGATTGGGTACACTTTCAATGAAGCTCTACCCATATTTTATGAAGAAATATGATAATTTGGATAACCTGTTCGTTGTAAGTAACAATCAATATTACATTTGTGTATAAGACATCTTTAATAACTCATTAATACCGCTGATATATAAGTGAACAGAGAAATATACGTTTGTAAGAAACATCATCATCGGCCAAGATGCATCGATAACCTGTTATGATGTAATTTAATGTTAAACGGAATTTCATACTGATATTAATAACTAATCTATGTGGCACACACAATAAAGCTCTGTTCCCAGGGAGAGGCTGCAGAAAACACTCATACTATCTAATTATGATATCGTTATCTGATGGAACTGTAAGTATCCAAACGATTTCGTCTTGTGGAATATATTACAGAACATTCATTAGAGAGACCATGCAAGCCGATGTTTTGATAATCTATTTTACTTCTGAAACAGGTATTCGATGAAAGAAAATATGTTTTTATGATGACTAGCTGGGCTCACATTGCTTATTAAGATTGTGCCTAAATACACACTAATGCATGGCTCCTTTCAATTAAGTGTTGAATTCCAGGCTTCAATAGTTCTTAGCGCCATTAGAGTTTGTCAGTGTTAGGTGTTCCATCAATGTAGAGACCGTGGCCGTTTGATGAACTGAAATCATTAAAGGTAGGTTGGATGTTAATGGAGTTGTCATGATCCTGACCTCAGCATGGTTTTATGTCGTCTCTGATGGTGATTTTGTGACAAAATGCTGCTACTTCATAGAAGCTAAGCTCACAAAAGTGTTTATTCTTATAGGTGACAATTAGATTACCCTTGCTTCATAATGCATCCTTCAGTGTACATCGTTTGCACGTTTACAAAAAATATCACGAACCCTTATACTGTACTTAATTATCTTATTCTAATTCTTTTCATGTTGTTTACCTTTTTATTTAAACTAGGTTGTCGACTCACTGCAACAATCCCTTTTTTCAGTCCCCCTGCGACTCGAAATTGGAGATCAAACAAACAACAGCCATATCTGTAGTTGTAAATAAAAGTCACACATGGTAAACGTTTGATTTACTCCTGATTACATTCTCTTTTTACTATCAATTTAAACTCCTTCGAGACCCTGACTCAAATTGGTACGACTTTTGTAATGGCGTATGAACGCACCTCAAGTGTCAACTATCGCCACCGAATAGTTCCATTGGGACCTCTGGTATATAACAATGTTAATATTCTGTTATAGGTATTTATGACCTCGAGTAACGCCGACAGTTGTGAGCAAAGAGGGCATAATTCATCGCTCTGTTTTTCCACCAGATTCCGGACATTTAAAAACTGACCAATTTATAGGAAACTCCCACGTTGTAATTTTGGGGGAGGTTATCTACATATATCGGCAACGTAGACTAGTAGAAAGTGATGCTTCGAGGCTTTGTCCAATCTGATATGGTAAGCCCAATGTTCAGAAATATGTCTAAAAATGGGCTAATAAATCTGTGTACGAGTGGCTAAACACTAAGTATGCCTACTCTCTATAGCAAATGATATCTGTCATGTTATGCCCTGAGCTACCACGTGTCATACTTTATTGAATTGTTCGAACGACATCATTCTCTCATAAATAAACGTAAATCGATCCATGATAAAATCTGCAAAAATAGTTCATGTTTTAAAGATAATGGGCAAACTCATTTTGATATATTTTATCACAGATCAATCAATATATTGTATTCATCTCGGCAATCTGTAAGGTACGTATTGTAAAAACATAAAGTAATCTTAAATCGGTTTACAGGTAAACATTTTATTTCAGCTACCTTAAAGTCCCATATATAAGCGTCATATTGCAAATCTACTGGGTTAAGAACATTTCTTTGAAAAAAATCGGTAATTATACAAAGATAATATTAACACACACTTCAGCTGAGTGGTATATATTAAGAAACACGTAGTGGGATATCAATACTGATTTCATAGAAGTGGGTCCCACTGAAAATACAAACTGATGTTATACAAAGTTCAGAAGGCCACGGTGAAAAAAAACCCCGACTAATCTTTCTGCATATTTAAACGTACAGGTGTAGTAGGCGTGTTTACATATGTATACAGGTGCTTTTCGTAACTTCATATCACAGTAGAATACAGTTGTATAGATATTCAAAGGCTGACAATATAGTCTGAATAGGGTTTTTCCGTGAAGGTTGTGTATATTGAGGATATAACTGAATGCATTTCATTCTGTTTAGGAGATAAATCTGCGATGTTTTAATGTTTTAAAATTGCAGCTAGTGATATAATGCGATCATGACGTTGTGAATTCGGTTTTACTGTCAACGTGTAGGGAAGACAGTATAACCGATATTTGCGACAGCGAAATTCCGTTGCCCTGTTGGACACGTTATTTTTTCTGACGCTGTCGGAATCATTTGGGTTTGTTGACGTCATTACTCACGCGGACTAGATATGCAAATAAAGAATGCCGTGGAATTAACTAGAATATTATTTAGATGCTAATACGACCATCCAATGGCTGGCAATACATAGCAATGATATTCAGTCAACAGACGTTGTTATATATAAATTTCTATATTTCGCTGATCAATATCCTATCATGCTTGAGTAATGGTTTGACTTATATCCTAGCAGGTGTGTTATTCTTCCTTATTAATCGTTGGCGGCATTGATGACCCTGAATGACCCGGATACAATCAGTAGGGACAATCGGCCATAATTGCTGATTACTTGGGGAAGCAATTTGTATGAGAATTACTGGAACGGATTGATAGATTTCTTCCGGTCCACTGAACTCCGTCAAAAGATGGAATCAATCACTTCGCTCTAGCCGTCAGCAGAGAACAGTATTTACTTATACCTGATGACGATCTGAAATACAATACATATATCAAATTGTCTTGCATCGATGTGGAGTTTCAAAAATAATCAAACATTTAACGTGACAATACATCTCGCATCTTATTTTTTAATCATTTTCTCACAAAGTTCTAACTTCAATCATCCGTGTTCATTCGGTAATAACCGCACGTTATGACTTCCCCTACACTTTACAGACTCTACTACCGCATACAACTCTATCGGCTTATCATTCATTTCGTTATTACAGGTTTCTTTCTATAGAATATTCTATCCAACCATTAATATTCCTTGTGTATGTATTTTAACCAAACATTAATATTTCTTTTATATGTCTTTAACTTGTCTCTATTCTTGCGATTCCACTTGTCACTCCTGCACCAACTGGTGTA